CTGTTTTCTTCAAGTTCTTGTTGTACCTTCTCCATGATCTTCAACTTCATATCCTTATGCAACCTTTTGGGGATGCCATTTGCAGATAACCACAACTCCGTCTCTTTATCTCTCTCTTTCATCTTTCGTTCCACTTTCATCTTGTGTCTATGCGCCTCTATTCTTTGAGTATCCAACTGCATGTATGTCTATATAGGCCAACACAAGTAGCTCAGTCATTAACTAGGAATTAGTTCTTTATCCTTCCCAATCAAAAACCAACCCAAGCTTTAGAAAAAAAAAAAACCAACAATATGCATATAGAATATCAGAGCCAAAAAAAAGAGAGAGTAAAAACCTGCAAATTTCCAATGAGATATAAGAATAAAAGCAATCCAATTATAGAGATGAACGCTGCAAATAGGTTCTCCCATCCATCGACGCTAGGCTCAAGATTTGAACCAAGAGAACTGCAAAAATGAAATGGTGAAATATATTAGATACAAAATTGAACTTTTCTTTAGCTCTGGATGTGTGTGATTGAACTTTTTTTTCTCTCTTTTCGGTCTGGATGTGTGAGATTGAATTTATATTATTCTCCAACAAATTAAGCAAATCGATTTCCAACTCAACAAAACGACCAAAAAAAATAAATATACAAACCTCAAATTTCGCAATCCCCACCAAAAACAATTGGAGAACTTTTGAAAATAATTTGTTGATCCCGTTATACCAGATTGAAGGACTGTAATATATATACCAAAATCAAAGAGCGATGTATTCACTGAACTTATAGGGCATAAATCATTTAGAAATGTAATATTTCTATCTGTGTGATGGTAATGACATCCAAAAGTACTTGTGTTACATCCATTTGCTTTGCGACATGAATTATGCCAACAAGTGGCCATACGTTGAATAGCGAAAAAGTAGCATATGGCACCAAGTACCTAAAGAATATCAAATTAATTAATCAGAATTATGAAAATATAAAGAGTAAAAATTTAAGTTCACTCGAGTAAGGAAATTAAATAACTTTTATCTTTAAACATAGATGTAAGGGTTTCTACCCAAAGTGGTACATAATATTTATACCTAAGACTAGAGTTTGAATCCTCCCATGTAACAAAAAGAAATGGAAAACATACCTAACTTGAAAGAACTTAATGTTATGATACATTCTTGTTTTTGCAAATATAAGTGAAGAATATGTGCCTACTTTATTAAAATATCGACCCCATGTAACCATGTTCATCAGACTTAGCAAGAATTCCAACCAAACAATGCTCTACATTATCCTCCTTTTATTTGTCTAACTAATGCAAGCAAGCAAGTGTTATGAAATTAAAATAAATTTTGATAAAGTTTTGAAACTTACATGACTAGAAAGGATGTACATCAAGAAATTCAAGACACCTTTAACCCATTTGGCAGTCTCTCCAATATCTTTTTCAGGAGTCCTTTTAAATTCCTTACATGATAAGTAGATGCGAAGAGCTCGTGGCACATATTGCAATAAAACAAAAAGGTTCATGGTAACCATCCTTATTGCCGTCAAAGATTTCAAGTCGCTCATTTCTGAAAAGAAAATGAGAATTGCTACCTGGACAACATACATTAATAATACAACAATCAGTTAAAATTAAATTATCATGAGTAAAATGTTGAATCATCAATTAAGATATGCAATTGTTTTTGGATGAAAACAGAAAAGGGAGATTGGTACGTAAAACAAACGATTAGTTTTTGTTACCTGTGGAAGCGGAAGAATGGCCAAAATGTCAATTAAGACGTTGTATGACCCCAAGATTATCTTAGCTATTGTTGGCACACCATATTTCCTCCAAAATCTTATTCTCGACCGGTACCTCCGCGTATCATATACACGCATGAGATGCGAATACTTGTCAGATGTATAAATTTGAAAAATAATGTCCAATATATAGAAAAGATCAGTGAGTGATCTTAAAAGAAGAGCGGCGATCTTCAAGTTTCTGTCAGACAGCAGGCACTTGATATCATTCTTCATCATAGGAACATAGAGAAATAATGGATCCAGTAAAACAGCAATCAGACATGATGCTACAAATATCTTCTTCCACTTTTGAATTCTACTTGATTCATCTTCATCGTTCATGATTGGATTTTCCATTGTTGCCTCTATGTTTGAATAACGATGACTGGAGGAAAAAAAATAAAAATAAAACAACAAATTAGTGTAAATTTGGGAAACTCTTGTAGACTAAGCTAATTTGACACGAAAAAAGCAGTTAATTTATTGTATAAAGAAGACCGAAAAATTAAGTTCCCCCAAAAGCAACATATAAATCTAAGATATCCCACAAATTAATATGCATGATAAGTAGGTGGAGCAGCCACCGCAGATATACAAGTCCTGTGTTTCATACCACATTTATTTAAAAGGGAACAAGCAAATGCATATAAATAGTTTTAAGTTAAAGAAACCAAACCGCTCAGCAGCTTTCTCTTCCGACTTCTCCACAACTAAAGTTACATCGGCGTTGGCCATAACTCCAAGGTGGAGCAAGAAAGGGGGGAATTTGAACAAGGCCGAGAGTGGCAGAAATTGATCTGGCTATAGGTGGAAAAAATCTAAAGTTCAGAATTGACATATATAGAACAAAAAAAGAAAAAAAAATTGAATTGATCTATGAAGACTTGTAGTCTTCGTCCCCAAGTCTTTATCTATGAAGACTTGTAGTCTTCCTCCCCAAGTCTTTTTCTAATGTTTTCCTTCTTCTCACTAAGCAGATTAACTTTAGTCACATCCTAGAAGCACAAAACTAAGTTATAGGGCTTTCATTTTGAAATCAATTAGTCACATTATTTTAGAGAATTACCCATTAGTAATTTGGATCTAAAAACGACTTGCCGTCAGAACAGTTATAAGGGCTACTAATACTATACACAAAAACATTTCTTTATCTTTTATGCACTGCAATCTCAAACCAAACATTCATTACTAGAAAAACTACTTTTGTTTGGATAGATGAGAGGATTGGAGGAAAGTTTTTGAGTTTTTTTTTAAAGTTGATTTAAATTTTAGTTATTAAGATATGTAATTATTTTTAATTTTTAAGGTGATAAAGTCAGATAACAAATTATGGATTTTGAAAAATTAAGGTGATAAATTGAAACTGATATATAAATTCAAGTTACATTTCTACAAAAATCCTAAAATTAATATAATAGTCCATTGTATCATTATCGAGGGAGACAAAAAAGTAGTTTAATAATCAATGTATCCTCACAGAAATGTGATATATTTGCATGCAATTGGATACTTGGGCCATCGTAGTCGGATTGCAACACAATGACCTTATTAGTTGTCCTCAAATCAACAAAAAAGAGCAAAATGACCTTATTCAGCTTCCTCTTCCTGCAATTAATGAACCACAAATGACCGAAATATCGATATTATCGGCGATATTTCACTGATAATATCATTTTTTTGAAGAAAGAATATTTTAATACTTATTCAATTAGTTATAGTCAATATATTGATATTTTTGGGATAATATCCTTCATACGCATGCAGTATTTGAGCAATTTATAATAAGGAAAAATTAGGTATTAGACATAGATAACTTTACTTATTAGTATTTAAGACATTTGATATTTTGGTTTGGGTTTTAATACCTAGAAAAGAATTGTTATTTTGGATTAGGCCAAAGAGGAAGACCAGATTTGTTGACCCACCTTACATTAGTAATTAAAAAGACAATTATACCATTTTCATTTAAAAACCTAACCCAAATTCATTAGTTTCTCATATATATATATATCTCTCTCTCTCTCTCTCCTCTCTTCTCTCTCCCCGCGTCTTCTCCCTTTCTCCTCCCCTCTGTTTCAACCGACACCGACAAAACCCCCCCAGCCACTGTCACGTCGGCCACCCAGCCACCGGACCGGTCAAGTTTTGACCGGCGTCTTCTCCCTTGCTCCTCTTCTTGTTGCTGCTGCTGTTGTTGTTGAAATAGCAGACTATTATCTACTCCAGATTTGGATTTTAGAATAGGGAGCTCAGGAGTTAGAGAAGAAATGAAGAACACAGAGAGATTTCAAAATGAGCAGATGAAAAATTGGTAGAAAAATGTGGGTCTGTAATCTCACTTTTTAATTCCACACTCAAACACGCACACTACATGCTTGATATAGAAACAGTTAGGAATAAGAACATTCCTCTCTTACATCAGCTCAATCTAACCATTCAAACCTCTACCCTATGAGATAAGAGACACATGGCAAATACAAACACTCATACCTCAGCTTAAGATCCTAGCCATCCATTGAACTATGATTCAATGGTTCATATTTAAACACTCAGCTAGCATACTTACAGAACCTAAACAGAACATTTCAGCTAATTACACTTATATTTCAACAATTATGACCCTTTTTAAGTCTAGAATATATGGAACTCGCTTGCTAGGCGGTGTTAATTACGAGTAAAAATGCTACTTCGATAGCATATGTGGATTAAGTCAATTAATTACGAGTATTGAGTTCCGCCCTCTTACACCCAAGTTCGAATCCTCCTCTTATATAAATTATATTAATTTAGAATGCATTATCTCTTTATGATCCTTTTTAACAGTAGAACAAGCAAACGAAAGATCAATTTGCATTTTACAGCTCATTTACGCACATTGACATGGGCCCACCATTCAACCAATGCGTTCATACAGACAATACATGAAAAGCATCTCAATTCTAACATGCATGGAGACAAGTGGGTGTGGTCGTGTGGGGACGTGAAGGGAGGTCGGCTCTTCATCCTTGATTCGTAGAGGCTTGGCTTGTAGATAATCAGAAAACAGAATAGAAGAAAGCCAAGATTGCAGAAGAATATCAAAGTCAAGAGTCCAAATATATGATATTGACATGACAAGACAACACTAATATCCAGCTGCCTCTCCATCTAAACACTCTTAAAGTTTGGCTTCCAATTTAGAGAAAACATAAATAAAGTAAAAAAAGAAGTCAGGTTTTTGCAAATCCGAATTGTGTCAAGCCTTGCCACTGGTGCAAACGTCTCATTGAAGTCTATCCCAGGCTTTTGAGAGTAGCCCTTTGCCACCAGCCTTGCTTTATTCTTCTGAACAGAACCATCCAAGTTTAACTTGGTTTTATACACCCATTTAACCCCAATAACTGGTTTATCCGATGGTCTATCAACCAAATCCCAAGTGTCATTCTTCTCTATCATATGAATCTCATTTTCCATTGCTTTCTGCCATGAATCATCCTTGACAGCTTCTTCAAATGACTCAGGTTCAATTATACACACATTACATCTTTCATAAACTTCAGCTATACTTTTAAATTTTCTAGGAGTGTGATCAAACTCCTGAGGACCTGTGATAGCTTCAGTGTCTTCTACTTCATTTTCTTCAACCATTTCTGTCTGAACTCCATATGCCTCATCAATTTCTTTTCCATTCTCAGCAACACCATCAGTGAGTGGAATTGAAATGCTGGATTCTTTTTGTGCATTCCAGTCCCAACTACTTTCCTCATTAAAAATAACATCTCTAGAAATGATCACTTTGCCCGATTCAAGATTGTATAACCTGTAACCTTTTTCACAGCTGCCATAACCAAGAAACACACACCTTGTGCTAGTTTGATCAAGCTTCTGTCTCTGCTGCTCTGGAATCTGAGCATAACACAAGGAACCAAACACTCTTAGATGCTTGATCCCTGGTTTTCTTCCACTGTAAGCTTCAAAGGGTGTTTTCTTCTCTAAAGCTTTAGTAGGACATCTATTCAATACATATACAGCAGTGTTAACTGCTTCAGCCCAAAATTCAAGAGGCATTTTCTTCTCAAACATCATACATTTTGCCATTTCAACAATTGATCTATTCTTCCTTTCAGCTATGCCATTCTGCTGTGGAGAATGAGCAACTGTCAGCTGCCTTTCCATTCCCATGTCATCACAAAACTTGCTAAATTCTGTAGAAGTATACTCACCCCCTCTATCGCTTCTTAATTTTTTCAGTTTATAGCCACTTTGCAATTCAACCATAGCTTTAAACTTTTTAAACACACTAAATACTTCAGACTTGTATCTCAGAAAATATATCCAACACATTCTAGTGCTATCATCTATGAATGTAAGGAAATACCTATTTCCTGACTTTGTAGTAGTTTGCATTGGTCCACAAACATCCGTGTGTACCAATTCAAGTGGACTCGCAGCTCTGCTTGTTGCTTCTTTTGGAAAAGGTTCCCTGCAATGTTTTCCAAAAGTGCACCCTTCACACACATGACTTGTGGCTTTAATCTCTGGCAGTCCTAACGCCATTCCTTCATTTTGCAGTATTTTTAAACTATTGAAGTTTAAATGCCCCAGCCTCCTATGCCAAATCAAAGCTGATTGACATACACTTGCTCTTAGTGCTACTTGTAACTCAGTGTGAAGATTCAAGGGAAAACTTCTATTCCCTTTCATCTGTACTCTAGCCACCAGATTAGACAGCGAGCCATCATCATAGATATCTGCTTTGCTATCTCCAAAGATCAGAAAATATCCATGCTCCATCATCTTTCCAACACTGAGCAAGTTCTCCTTAAGACCATATACAAGCATCACTTCCTTTATATATCTTTTTCCCATCTTTGTGTCAACTACCAAACTTCCTTTTCCCAAGACATCAACCAATTGTCCTGTTCCCATTGCAACCTTTGCTGTTATGCTTTTATCAATGTCAACCAAAACATCCTCCCTGCCAGTCATGTGGTTACTACAGCCACTGTCCAAGTACCACACATCTTCCATAGGCCTTTTATCAGATGCATTGTTGACAAAAAACATAGTTGGTGCAGTAGGAGCTTGAGTTGCATAGTTCAGCTGTTGCTGTGCAGGTTTCTTGCTGTAGCAGTCTTTTGCAATATGTCCCAACTTGTCACAGTTGTAACACTTTGGTTTTCCTTTAAATCTACATTCTCCATAATGCAGTTTTCCACAATGCTTACATGGATTCTTAGCACCATCAGTGGATTTATTTTCCCACTTCTTGTCTCTTGGCTTCCAACTCTTTTGATCTTTACCACTTTGTTTTCCTGTAGATTTATCAGTTTTAGAATTCACACTGAGACTAGCAAATGCTTTCTCAGTTTTAGGCTCAGTGTGTCTCTCCAATCTCTGTGCAAAACCTTTCAATGAGGCAACAACCTCTTGAACTTCAATTGTATCTATATCCCTCGAGTGCTCAATAACAGAACATATAGGATCATACATAGCAGGCAAGCTAATCAACAATTTCTGCACTACTCTTCCCTTAGATAAATCTTCTCCATAACTTCTCATTTGGTTTATAAGATCAAATAGTTTTGCAAGGTAAGCAGACAAAGATTCATCATCTCTCATCCTAGTATATTCAAAATCTCTTCGTAAACTTTGTAATTTTACACCTCTCACCTGTTTATCTCCATGAAATTCTCGCATCAAGAGATTCCAGGCTCCCTTCGAGGTTTCTTCATGAGCAATCCTAGGAAAAATTTCCTCAGAAACTGCTCCTTGGATCAGACCCAGAGCCTTAGCATCTTTCATAAATGCCTCTGTGAAAGATATCTTCACAGCATCACTTGAGTCCTCCTTGTCTTTCTTCTTCTCATCAGATCCAGCAGCTCCCTTCGAATCTGAGATCTCTACCCCTTTCTCAACGAATTCCCAAAGCCCATGAGACTTGAAGATGGTTTTCATCCGTATGCTCCAGAACTCATAGTTCTCACCATTGAAGATCGGAGCTCTCAGCTCACCACCTCCAGATCCAGCCATATTAGACTCGACCACAGAGGAATCGCAGCTTACAGAATCGATTCGAGCTCAGGACCAGCTCAATCGTACTTCACAGATTCCACGCCCAGTTCAGACGAAGGAACCTGGCTCTGATACCATGTTGAAATAGCAGACTATTATCTACTCCAAATTTGGATTTTAGAATAGGGAGCTCAGGAGTTAGAGAAGAAATGAAGAACACAGAGAGATTTCAAAATGAGCAGATGAAAAATGGTAGAAAAATGTGAGTCTGTAATCTCACTTCTCAATTCCACACTCAAACACGCACACTACATGCTTGATATAGAAACCGTTAGGAATAAGAATATTCCTCTCTTACATCAGCTCAATCTAACCATTCAAACCTCTACCCTATGAGATAAGAGACACATGGCAAATACAAACACTCATACCTCAGCTTAAGATCCTAGCCATCCATTGAACTATGATTCAATGGTTCATATTTAAACACTCAGCTAGCATACTTACAGAACCTAAACAGAACATTTCAGCTAATTACACTTATATTTCAACAGTTGTTGGGCTCCCAAGTAAGAAAGTGTGTGAAGCCTGAGGAGCGGCTGTGAAAGCCATGGAAAAGGGAGGCTAAGAAGGTGCTCTGTGGTTTTTTACAATTACTTTTTGGTCATGTTGTTGCTGAGGGGATTGTTTTAGGAGTTGGAATTTCATGGCCTCGTTTATGTGGTTCAAAATAAAAATCAAAGCAGGTTCATATATTAATGAATTTTATTTATTTATTTTCTGACAACATTACTTGTCCTCACCTACAACAAGAGGTATGCTATTATGTGATCCACATTGAAGAGGATTAAGCAGCTCGATATATCTACAAATTAACTGCCACCAGATTTTTATAAACTGCCTCTGTTTGTTTCAGTTTTTTCGCAGAAACTGCATTGCAGTTTGGTAATTATAATTGGATTTTTGCTCTTTCCCTGGCCTTCAACCTCACCAATTTGAAGAGTAGAGGCTACCCAGATGAGGAATTGGGTGGGCAAGAGAAGAGTAGAACTACCCAAGAGCAAGGGAACTCAAAATTGGACTTTTGGAAAATGGAAACTGCATTGCAGTTTTTATTTAATTATAATTTGATTTTTATTTTTTTTAACATAATTGATATCTACATTATATTTTAGATTAATTTGGTTTTTGTATTTTATCATCAACAATTTTGTTTGCGCTAAAACTAGACGGGTAGTAAATAGGCCAACTTAAAGATGAGGAGGATGTTGAAGGTGAGGACCCTCAGTATGTAAGAGCATTCGGTAGATAAATGGACATGCATACAGAAGACAAATGTACGTGATTCACCCAAATAATGGGCTACGTCCACAGAGAAGTATGTTCTCATTACGATAATGTTGTATACAATGCACATAGGGTTTGACCCAAGGAGAGGAAGAATACCGAAGGCAGATGGCCGAAGGCTGGTGGCCGAAGGCTGAGGATCTGGCTGAAGGCCAATGATCCGTGGGCTTGTAAATGGACTCATGGGTAAGCCCATGAGGCCCAAGTAGCCTGCCCAACTCTCCCTCTTCTTGAAGGGGAGAGGTCTCCTTTTATAAAGAAGGGAGAGTCCCCTCCTCTTGTGTTTTGTCGATGTGGGACTCCCTTCCCTTTGGCTTGGGAGTGTTTGGGGAGTGCTTGGCCAAATATTGTACAAACAAATTTGATTATAATTAGACGAAAACGAAAACGAAAGCGGAAACTGAGATGCAGAAAACCAAAACGAAAACGTAACCCAAAACTAGAAACTGCGATGCAGAAAACGAAAACGAAAACGAAACCAAAACCAGAAACTGAGATGCAGTTGAAAGGTCGCGCGAATGGGTTGTGATTCAATTTCTGTTTCGGTTGATGTCGTTTTGGTTCAGTTTTGGTTTGATGTCGTTTTTCAGCTTTGGTTTAAAACTAAATACTGAAAATGGCATATGTTGTAATTTTCATATTTTGTAATGGTATTTTTGTTACATTTTGGTGTTTGGCCTTTTGCTAATTAGACTAAATTGTATTTCTTTCTACTAAATTAGTAAACTATATTATGGTTTAAAACTAAAGCTCGCTTTATAATATCGCGATATGAAACCGAAAAAGGAATGAAAAATTCTGAGCCTCCATCCCACTCCTCTCCGTTTCATCCCTGATGTCATACCTGCATTTCAGTCTCAATCTCCAACGTAAGTTACGCATGAGGATTTTATTTTCAAACTCCTTTTTGAGGTCATAGGCAGGCAAACTACATATGTTCTGAATATTTTATTGTTTAGAAACTTTGGCTCTCGTCCACTGACTATAGTGCAAGAGTTATTGAACTGACCTGGTAGTTTTGTTTCCGGGGTTTGTCCCTACTCAACAAGTCTTTTTCTAATAATTTACTTGTCACCAACCAAAGCAAGTATTTTTCTAATAATTTACTTGTTTCCTGGGGTTTGTCCCTACTCAGCAAGTCTTTTTCTAATTTTTTTTCTGTTAGACTTGTTAGGCACAAAATTGACACAAATAAAAGTTAGGTATCTAATTCATGCAAACGTCAAAGTTCAGCATCAAAATTATAAATACAAAATCCTTTATTTTAATTTTAGAAAATAGAAAGCTATAAAAAGGATAAAAAATTATTTATGAAATGGGGGGAATATATAAACCCCAACAAACTCTTGATGTGTTTGAGTTTTTGCTTCCTACCTGCAAAAGAAAAGAGTTTTTGTTTCCAGGTGAGGTGTCCTTAGGTTCCCGCTCAAAAAGGTATTTCTCTTCCTTATGTTGAAAGAAAACCTCAATTTCAATATTTCTCCTATTGATTGATATTTAAAAAATAATCATAGAAATGGTAATATAGAAACAACTTATACAAGAGAGGTCTAGTACTATTTATGCAAGCACGAAAAAGTTACATAATTAGTTTATGTCATCAACTAAACACAAAAAACAACGTCCTAACTTTACAATCTATATTGGGCACAATTTTGTGTTAACCTAATCGTATCACCCAACCCGATCATAGTGGGTTTGGTTAGCCTAAAAATGATTGAGTCTTAGGTTCAAAAAATTATAAATCGCTATGCACGGGTTGGGTTATGGGTTGAAACCAAAACTTAAAAATAAGCTTAATTTTGAGTTAACTCAACCGAAACTAAACTTTTACCAAACAATGCTAAATAAGCCAATTTTATTTATCTAAACCAAGCAAAGCAAGCGATATGGAATTAAAATAAATCATGATGAAATGTTGAAACTTACATGACTAGTAAGGATATATATAAAGAAATTCAACTCACTTTTAACCCGTATGGAAGTCTCTCTTGTCTCTCCTTTAGTTGTCTTTTTAAGTTCCTTGCATGAAAAGTAGATGCGAAAAACTCGTGACACATATTGCAACAGAACAAAAAGGTTCATGATAACCATCCTTCTTGTGTTCACATATCTCAAGTCCCTCATTTTTGAAAAGAAAGTGAGAATTGCTACCTGTACAACATACATTAATAAGACAAACAAATTAAATCTAATTATCACGAGTAAAGTAGGCAATCATTAACTAATTAAGGTATTGAGTTGTCTTAATTTCATTATGTTATATCCCATTTCATATATTGCCTGGTGTACGTAATTCTCAACCACAATCTATGGAGCACATTTCTTATGCTTTTATGATGAATGTAATATCTTAATAAGCCCAAAAAACCAAATAGGGAGATTGGAAAATAAACAATAAACTCAACAAAGGGATTCTCTTACATGTGGAAGCGGAAGGATAGCCCAAATGTCAATTAAGATATTATATGACCCCAAGATTTCCACCAAAATCTTATTTCCGAGCTGTACTAGTACTCTGATGCAGCGAGTTTAGCAAATACATGAGGAAAGTCTTAATAACCTATATTAAATAAGTATCTCTTCGTATGTGGGAGTTATCTAGGTTCATAAATAAAGTTATGGAGAGTCTTTTCATCTTTGTGAGTGATAGGGAGATTTAATGTGAAGTTATCATTAGGAGGGAAGTTGGGATAGGAAAGGTTTAGGAGAGTTATGAGGAGTTATCTCATCTTGATTGAGAGGCTCCTATAAATAATGCATGAAATTGTAAGCAAGGGGCAGTTGATGTTTGTTATTGAATGAAGATTGAGATTTTTCTCTCATCTCTTTACTCTTTTCCTGGGTATTCTTAGAATTAACAGATTAGAGTTTTAATTCCGGGTATTCTTTGAATCAACAGAGTTAAGTTTGCTTGAAATTATCTTTTGTCCTTGTTCCGCTGCATCAGTTGGTATCAGAGCGGGCTTTCGGCCTGCACTCCAAGAACCTGGTGCCCAAAAGAAAAAAAAAAGAAAAAAAAAAAAAGAAGAAGAAGAAGTCTAGCTCTATGGCTCCAAGAGGCGAAGGACGCGGTGGTCGGCAAAATGTTGAGGATGCAAGGTATGCACGTTTGGAGGAACGAATCCAGCAATTTGAGGAGCGCTTTGACATGATTGCGGAACAAATTGCTGCACTAAATATTGAGAACCGATCTCAAAGTCATCATGAAGAGGAGGAAGAACGTTATGAAAGTGAAGAGACTAAAAATCCATTTGGGAATCATAGACAGAGAAGACATGTTCCTCCACGAGATCATGGGCGATGGGAGTCGGGTTTCAAACTCGAAATTCCAGAATTTAAAGGATGTTTGCAACCAGAAGAATTCTTAGATTGGGTTGCTGTAGTTGAAGAAGTTTTGGATTTCAAAGATGTGCCACAAGACAAGCGGGTTCCCTTAGTGGCTACTTGATTTCGAGGCAGAGCGGCTGCGTGGTGGCAGCAACTGAAGCAAACTCGAGTCCGAAAAGGAAAGCAGAAAATTGATACGTGGGAAAAATTGTTAAAGTATATGCGAGCCACCTTCCTTCCGCACAATTATTCTAGAACATTGTATCAACAACTCCAGAACTTGCGCCAAGGTTCTCGCTCTGTCGATGAATACACAACAGAGTTCTTTCAATTGATTGCCCGTATTGATTTGGGAGAGTCTGAAGATCAGTTGGTATCTCGCTATACTGGAGGTATGAGAATTCAATTTCAAGATTCATTGAATTTATTTGATCTTATTTCTGTTTCTGAAGCACACTAGCAAGCTTTGCAATTAGAAAAGCAAATAAATAGGAGGCCAGGAATGCAAGGTAGTGGTGGTAATAGCCAAAATACCTCATCCCCAATTCTGTCCCGAAGTGTCAATTCTCAAGCACCAACTGAAAAACCACCAGTAAACCCTCCACCTACTCGCACATCTATTAGCGGGGCCAGTGGAGTTGCAACATGCTGTTTTAAATGTGGTGAACCTGGGCACAGAATGGCTGACTGCAAGAAGAGAGATCGGTATGGGAAGGGATTATTCATTGACAGTGAAGACACACCACCAGACGAGCAATATAGTATTGAACAAGACCCCAAGTTTGACAGCCATTATGACGATTTTGAAGAAGAGCATGTTCATGGTGATAATGGCCCTTTATTGGTGGTTCAAAGGGTTTGTCTCACTCCACGAGTAGCTGATGGTGATTCATGGCTTCGTAATAATATTTTCCAATCCACATGCACAATTGGGGGCAAGGTTTGTCGACTTGTTATCGACTCTGGTAGCTGTGAAAATGTAGTTGCTGATGAGGCAGTTCAAAAGTTGGGATTGGCGACAGAGAAGCATCCTCATCCTTACAAATTATCGTGGTTAAAGAAAGAAAATGATGTAAGTGTTTCAAGACGCTGTTTAGTTTCTTTTTCCATTGGTACTAAATACCAGGATCAAGTGTGGTGTGATGTTATCACTATGGACACATGCCATATTTTGTTGGGGAGGCCGTGGCAATATGACAGGGGTGCAATTCATGATGGAAAGAAGAATACATATAGCTTTTTGATTGACAAGACCATACTTGTCTTATTTCCCAATAAGGAGATTGTTTCCAAGCCATCAACAACTGTGGAAACTAATACTCTGTTAACAAGGAGACAATTCAGTGATGAGATTAAAAAATCGGGGATTGTTTATGTGTTGATTGGAAAAGAATGAGAAAAACAACATGGAATCCCAGAAGCAGCCTAAGGTCTGATTGCAGAGTTCCAAGATATATTTCCAAGTGAACTTCCCCATGGTTTACCTCCACTTCGAGAAATACAGCACCAAATTGACATAGTGCCTGGTTCGACTTTGCCTAATCGACCACATTATCGCATGAGTCCCAAAGAACATGAAGAACTTCGTCGCCAAGTGGAGGAGCTTCTATACAAGGGACACATTCGGGAGAGTCTTAGCCCTTGTGCAGTACCCGCCTTACTCACACCAAAGAAAGATAACACATGGAGGATGTGCGTGAATAGCCGTGCAATTAACAAGATTACAGTCCGCTACAGATTTCCTATTCCGCGGTTGGATGATCTTTTGGACCAATTGAGTGGAGCAACAATCTTTTCGAAATTGGATTTGAAAAGTGGGAATCACCAAATCCGTATACGGCCTGGTGATGAGTGGAAGACGGCGTTTAAAACTCGTGATGGCCTATACGAGTGGTTGGTAATGCGTTTTGGGCTCCCTAATGCACCAAGCACTTTTATGCGTGTGATGAACGAAATTTTTCGTCCCTTTATTGGTAAGTTCTTAGTGGTTTACTTTGATGATATATTAATTTATAGTGCTAACCACAATCTGCATGTTCAGCACTTGCGAGAAGTTCTGACAGTCTTACGCAGGGAAAAATTCTTCGCAGCCACGAATAAATGTGTGTTCATGACAGATCGTGTTATTTTCCTTGGATATGTGGTGTCTAAGGATGGAATTTCAGTTGATGAGTCCAAGGTTGAAGTTATTTTAAATTGGCCAATCCCGAGGAATATTCATGATAGTGCGTAGCTTTCATGGGTTGGTGTCCTTTTAACGCCGCTTTATTCCTAATTTCAGCATTCTTATGGCGCCGATAACAGATTGCATGAAGGCCGGAAATTTTCTATGGACTGAAGTTGCAACGGAAGCTTTTCAACAAGTCAAGCATAAAATAACTTCAGCTCCCATCCTTATCCTGCCAGATTTCACTCAACCATTTGAGTTACACTGTGATGCTTCCAAAATTGGCATAGGTGCTGTACTTAGCCAAGAAGGGAGGCCTGTTTCATTTTTTAGTGAAAAGTTGAGTGGTTCTAAGTCAAATTACTCCACTTATGACATTGAGTTTTATGCCATAGTTCGAGCACTCAAGCATTGGAGTTCTTATCTTGCCTACAATGAGTTTGTTCTTTATTCTGACCATGGTGCTTTGAAACATATTAACAGCCAAGACAAGCTCTCCTCTAAGCATGCAAGGTGGGCCGCTTTTATTCAACAATTTACCTTTGTTATCAAGCATCAATCAGGATCTTTAAACAAGGTTGCCGATGCCTTGAGCCGTCGTTCAACCCTCTTGGTTTCTATGCGAAATGAGGTACTTGGTTTTGATTCATTTCGTGAATTGTTGTCATCTGATCCATATTTTGGGCCAATACTCCCTGATGCTGGTGTTGGAAAGCATACAGATTTTGTTTTGCATGATGGTTTCCTATTTAAAGGAAATAAATTGTGTGTTCCTGCTAGTAGTCTGCGCTTGAAAATTATTCAGGAATTGCATAATGAGGGTCATTTGGGTCGTGACAAGACCTTGCAGCTTGTGATGAATACTTACTTTTGGCCTTCCATGTGGAAAGAAATCACCAAATTTGTGGAGGGCTGCCGTGTTTATCAAATTTCCAAGGGTGTCGCTTCGAATGCTGGCCTTTATATGCCACTTCCTGTTCCAAGTCAACCAAGGACCAACATTAGTATGGACTTTGTCCTTGGTTTGCCACGCACCCAACGTGGAAATGAATCCATCTTTGTTGTTGTAGAAAGATTTTCCAAGATGGTCCATTTTTTGGCTTGCAAGAAGACTACTGATGCAATCAATGTTGCTCAATTGTTTTTTCGAGAAGTTTATCGTCTTCATGGGCTGCCTTTGTCCATTGTATCAGACAGAGACACCCGCTTCCTTAGTCATTTTTGGCGTATGCAGCGAGTTATGCATGAGGAAATGTATAAATTTGAAAAATAATGTCAAATATATAGAGAAGATCAGTGAGTGATCTTAAAATAAGAGCGGCAATCTTCAAGTTTCTGTTGGACAGCAGACACTTGATATCATCCTTCATCATAGGAATGTAGAGAAACAATGGATCTAGTACAACAGCAAACAGATGTGATGCTACAAATATCTTCTTCCACTTTTGAAGGAAGGACCCTTGAGGAGGCTCATGAGTTTCCTCCTCTTTTGGTGACCATTTTGTACTTGATCCATGTTCATCTTTTATGATCGCAGATCCGATTACAGAAGGAGTCCCAGGGGAAAGAGCAGAAGCCCTATTAATTAACGATGTTGTTGGAGACAAGAACGGGGATAGGAGAAGCCCTGCTGAAGAAAACGGTTACAGCGGCCCAAGCCCCATCCGCAGGGGTGATAGGAGCCCTGTTGAAGATGATGAAGATAACCATGGTTCTCCAAGAGGCAGTGAATCAGCTTGAAAGCAGTTTGATGGCATATGTATGCTGGTTTTACATGAACATTAGTGTCACAATTTTCTTGCTTTCAAGTGGAACTTTTTCAATATTTTGTGTTCTAGCTCAAAATTTTAATCTCTTTTAAGATGATGAATTTGGATTTCTGTGGGGCAATAGGTAATTTGTGATTCGGATCCAGCAATTTTCTGTGTGATATATTTACAAGAATTTCTGAAGCAACCAATTAGTGGAGTTGTCAACTTCTGCACCATTGTCTCTCAGCCACCTACGCGTACAAGAAACAGGTTTTCTTTTTTCTGTTCTTGACAGGTTCTTTTGTTGCAAGTAGGTGACATACATATGTTATTTATCTCAAACAAACCAATGTACCTTACGTGTTATTATTTAAAACATTTATTATTGTTGTTTACGGTTGCAATGAGTCCGCCCTCTTTGGGATGTCAAGAGAAACTGGGTTCTACGTCTTCTCCCCTTTGATACTCTGCCATAAACTTGCGCAATCCCTCAAGCTCCACGGCTACTTGTTCCATGGAAGGCCTTGCCTTCCTTTGTAACCCCAAACATCTTTTTGCCAGATCCGCCACCTTTTTGGCCGTCTCTGAAGTTGCTTCATTGACTATTATTTGAGCATCAAGAATTTGGTCCAAGCGACCCTCTTCCACTGAAGTTCGAAATAAGCTTGCTAGGTTCACAGCACTAGTCCCAGGAGGTGAAACTGGCTTTTGACTTGTTAGTAGCTCCGCTAGGACAACTCCAAAGCTATAGACGTCACTCTTTTCTGCTAGTCCTTCTTTTCGAAAATGAGGGTCAAAGTATCCTTCCTTTGAAATTGAGCTAATATAATCTGAACTCAAATAAGGTTCATTGAACAATCGTGACTGTCCAATGGCAGACAACTTTGCCTTGTAATGATCATCCAAGAGTATATATTTCGTCGCCAAACATTGGTGTATGATCGGTGCAGGAGTGAACGAGTGTAAGTAAGCTAGTGCTCCAGATGTTTCTGACGCTATCTTGAGTCGTAACTCCAATGAAAGTAGTAGTGCAGTTGGTTTTAGTTTATGAATGTGCTCAAAAAGTGTGCCATTGGAAATGTACTCAAAAACCAGAACAGGTTTGTCTTCTTTCCGACAAAGACCTAAGAACCTCACCACATTTATGTGGTGGGTCTGAGAAGGAACAGCCGGCGCAATAGCTACATCTCCATACCTAATACGAGTTGTGTACTTCTTTAACCTCCACAACGTAGAGCATCATTTGAAGTGGTTCACCCTCTTCAATAATGATAACATCGTCAACAAACTCCAGGGGCTTAAGATACCAGCAAGTCCTTGTCAACACACTTTGGCACCTAGAATTTTAATTAATTAATAAAAACATCTTATATATATAGAAGAATTAATAAATTTAAACATATTATTAATTAATTCTATACAGATAATTGTTAGTCGCATCTCTTTCACTCTCATGCGTGTCTGGATCTTTGTGTTTTGTGAGATTCATATATGGATGTGTTCCTTTTTCATGCTTTTCATATGCAATCATATAACCTTTTATTAAAAACTCCCAATCAAAACTATGCCACCAACAGGAATTCAAACCAAATTGAAACGGTGAGAGCCCCCCTCTCCAAGAAGCCCTCTCCCCGGATAAGATGTGCTATGATTCTTTAGTGGCAGTATTATATGAGGAGAGGGTCTTGCAAATTTGGCACTTCTTGTAAGTTTCACCATCCTAAGCAGGGAGCTTAATTAGCTTACTGAAGGCCCTCTCCCCCGTGAGAGCCCCCCTCTCCTCCGTGAGAGTCCCCCTCTCCTCCGTGAGAGCCTCCCTCTTCTTCGTAAGAGTCCCTCTGTTCCTTTTAAGTTGTTTTCCTGTTTTGGGGTTTCCTCTTTTCTTCTAAATTTTACTTCCCTTCACCCTCTCAACGTCCCACCTTTCTCACTCATACTAGCCATCTCAACAAACCACATCTATCTATCCAATCTACACCACCAGCCCCCTCCACAACCCATTCCCACATATCCCCCACCTTGAATCCAACCCTCAGATCTGTGAAAGCCTTTTCATTTTGTGGCTTCTTTTGTGAGCCCTCTGTGGCCTCGAGTGGACCCTTGTGGTCGGGGTGGTATCTGTGACTGGCCAGATCTGGCTCACTCTGTGTTGGGCATACGGAATGCATGCCAAGTGTTCGACCATATGCCCCTTGAAGGTTTCACTTCCGCAAGCTCGGTACACAGAGGAGTTATGAAAACAAAAGGAACACTTGCAGGTGATTTCGACCTGACGGAATGCTCTGAACCTGAGATCTCCTTGGTACTGCCTCGGAAATGATTCACCTATCATGGAACTGTCAAGGTTTGGGGAATCCCTTGACAGTTCTATATCTCAAGGAACTCATTCGTTCAAAAAATCCCTCGGTGGTATTTCTAATGGAAACAAAGCAGAACTGCCACAGAAACAAAGTGCTGAGAAAGCAATGCGGTTTTCATAAGGGGCTAACGGTGGATCCTATTGGTACTGCCGGTGGCTTAAGCATTTGGTGGAAATCGAATGTGGACATCGTTTTTTTGGAAACTACTAAAAATTGGATTGATGCAGTGGTTACTATGCCTTCTGAATCTTTTTATGGCAGATGCACATGGCTTTATGGCACCCCTTATAGTCATGAGAAAAATGAGTTTTGGGAAGAGATGCTTAGTTGGGATCGCAGAGATGGCGAGCCATGGATGGTTATCGGGGACTTCAATGAAGTTTGCTGGCAGCACGAAAAGGATGGTGGTAACGGTTGGAACATCGCAAGGCGGAGATATCTTATTGAATTCATGCAGACTTGTAACCTAGTGGACCTGGGCTTTAAAGGACAAGGATTCACTTGGGAAAGGTTTTGTGGAGACGAATTGATCATAAGGGAACGACTTGACCGTGCTATTGTTAACCCGGACTGGCTGGAGAATTGGCAGAACACCTGTGTTATTCACTGTGCCAGGGTGGGATCTGATCATTGCCCAATCTTGCTTGATAGCAACCCAATCTGCCAAATCAAAAAAGGAAAGTTATTCCGCTTTGAATCACGATGGCTCAAAGAGGAGGAGTGTGGAAATATCGTGAAGCGCTCATGGAGGCCCAAAGAGAACAACACACATGTTAATCAATGGACTCAAAACCTGCATCTTAGCAAGACTGAACTTTTGAAGTGGAATAAGGTACATTTCCCGAACTGCAAAATCAGAATCAATGAGGTGATGGAGGAACTTGGTCTTCTGCAAAATGCTAACGCATCTGATGTTTCCATACCCAAGCAAAGATCTCTCAAAGCTGAATTGGATAAAATGTGGCGGTGGGAGGAGCAATTTTGGAGGCAAAGGTCAAGAGTTAATTGGTTGCAGTCTGGGGATTCAAATACAAAGTTCTTCCATCTAACCACCATTCAAAGGAGACAACGAAATCGTGTTCTCAAAATTCGAAATAATTCTGGAGATTGGTTGGTCGGTGAGCATGCAATTAGAAACGAATTCTTCGGTTTCTTTAGCAACCTGTTCAAAACTGCTGGCCCTCGCGATTGGTCAAGCACGTTAAACAATGTGGATAGGATTGTTACCCCCGAAATGAACTCTCTCCTGCTTGCGCCTTTCAATGAGGATGAAATTAAAACTGCTGCCCAACAACTTGGAGCTGACAAAGCCCCAGGCCCTGACGGTTTCCCTGGGATGTTCTACAACCAGTTTTGGAATATCGTGAAATCATCAATCGTTGGAGCCACGTGTGATTTTCAGAGGGGTTGGTGTCAATTAGAGGAGCTAAACAAGACCTTCATTGCTCTCATCCCAAAAATTCCTGATCCTGAGAACACTGACCAGTTTAGGCCTATTGGACTTTGTAATAACTCTTACAAGATTTTAGCAAAGGTGATGGCCAACAGGTTGAAAATGATTCTTCCGGATATTATCTCAGATAACCAAAATGCCTTCGTCCCGGGAAGGCAAATCCAAGATAATATCCTCGTAGCGCACGAGGCCTTTCATTATTTAAAGAGGAAAAAAACTGGTGGTGTTTTTGAAGCTGGCATAAAAGTTGACATGAACAAGGCTTATGATCGTATTGAGTGGGACTTCTTGTTTGTTCTTATGGAAAAAATGGGCTTTGCTAGTGACTGGATTCGCCTCGTCAAAGCTTGCCTCACTACGGTGTCTTTTTCTGTCATTGTTAACGGCAGACCCGGCCGTTCCTTTAAGCCCTCCCGGGGCTTGAGACAAGGGGACCCACTCTCACCATACCTTTTCTTACTGGTCAGTGAAGCCCTCTCTATGAACCTCACAAAGGCCGCCAGCAAGGGCGAGATCACTGGAATTAGGATTGCCCGGCGATGCCCCATTCTCTCGCATTTGTTCTTTGCTGATGACTCCCTTTTCTTTGTGAAGGCTGATGTGCTTAATTGCAGGAACCTAAAAGGTGTTCTGGATAGCTATTGTTTGGCGTCTGGACAATGCATAAATTATCAGAAATCCTGCTTCTACTTCTCTTTGAACACACCTGAGGAAACTAGAAGAAGCTTATGCTCCTTACTGAGTATTAATGGCGTGGACAACCCGGGGATTTATCTGGGGCTGCCAACTATTTGGGGAAGGTCCAAAATGGCTTCCCTGAATTATATTCTTGAGAGGATTCGTAGGAAAATTGAGGGATGGAAGCAAAACTCGTTATCACTGGCGGGTAAGGAAATACTAATAAAATCTGTTGCTACTGCGGTCCCTGCCTACCCGATGACTTGCTTTCGCTTTCCAGAAGGAACTTGCAAGAAAATAACTAGTGCACTAGCGAATTTCTGGTGGGGTAAATCTGAAAAGGGATCTGGCCTCCATTGGAGGTCCTGGTCGAGGCTTGGATTAGCAAAAGGTGATGGTGGGATGGGGTTTCGTGACCTCTCCAGCTTCAATCTTGCCTTGTTAGCTAAACAGTGCTGGAGAATACTACAAAACCCGAATGCTACGTGGGTTAAGATCTTAAAAGCTCGCTACTTTCCCAACTGTGATTTCGTAAAGGCTAAAAAAGGATCTCGTTCCTCTTGGGCTTGGGCAAGTCTATTGGATGGGAGAGATGCATTACTCAAGGATGCTAGGTATCAAGTGTTCAGTGGCGCCACTACATGTATTTGGACTGACAGGTGGGTCTCATCTACGCATTTTGGTGTCATTCAACCTATCAGACCCGTTCCCCCATCTGCCCCTCAACTTGTTAAAGATATAATGGACAAGCATAATCATACTTGGATTCTTGATGGCATCTCCACCCTGTTAAGCAGGGAAACTTTGGATCGTATTAGATGTACTCCGATTGGCCGTACAAATCGAGCAGATAAACTTGTATGGCCTTGGAATACTGTGGGCACATATACTGTGAAATCGGGTTATCACCGTTTTCATGCAAGGCTCCACACAATCATACCAACCCACAACTTTTCCTCCCACTCTATTCCAGAAACTGTCTGGAAGTCCATTTGGAAAATCAAAACACTCCCCAAAATCAAACACTTTCTCTGGAGAGCTATTTCTTGCTCCCTATCCACAAGACTGTCCTTGTTCAGAAGGAAAATTGTTAGTAATCCTCTTTGCCCAATTTGCGAGTGTTATGAGGAATCCATTGAGCACATCCTTTTTCTCTGCCCTTGGACCCTACTGGTATGGTTTGGCTCTGAGCTGTCTTACAGGATTGACCATCAGAGAATCACGTCCTTTGACAGGTGGCTTGAAGGAATTCTTTTGATTCCAGGCATTACCAAGGCGGAGCTTAATCACTGTTTGTCTCTTATTAGCTTCATTTGTTGGGAAATCTGGAAATCCAGGTGTCGCTTTGTCTTTGAAGGTACCACCCCGGACCCGCGCCGGGTTATTGCGAGTGCTAGGGAGGCTTGCATCGAATTTGTAGGTGCCACTGCTGTTGATAGGGAGTTGATGGCTACACAAGCTTCACCTTCCAACTCTATCTCTCGAGGAATTCGGTGGTCCCCCCCGACTAGCAATATATTGAAAGTTAATTTTGACGGTGCCTGGAGTCCTGGTTCCTGTGCTGGTGGTATTGGAGTGGTTATCCGTGATTTAAATGGAGTTTGGTGTGGGGGCCTCTCCTCCCCGGTCATCTGCGATTCAGCCCTTGTTGCAGAAGCTGCCGCTGGCCTTTGTGCAATTACCTTTGCAAAAGAAAGGGGAATGGGGAAGATTATTTTAGAATCTGATTGCAAGGTGGTAATTGATGCTTTGCGTGGAAGGATTGGCAACAACTCTTGGGTCATCACGCCAATTATTGATGAAATTCATAATCTGACTTTGTGTTTGGATGATGTGGCCTGGAATTGGGTGCCTAGATGTGCAAATCGAGCAGCTCATGCAGCAGCTTCGATTGGTTTGAGAGCTATGGAACTGAAAAGTTGGGTCACCAGACCACCATTATCTCTTGTTGGAGTTTTAAAATCTGATGGTCTGCCATGCCCACCACAGGATGGCAATACTAGTAGTTAATTTCAGTTTTTTATTTGGTGGGGGTTAAGACTATAATACTAGGCTCCGATGGAGCATTAGACTTGTCTGACTTCTCTGTTGTTGGTTTCCTCTCCTATCTGGCTTTTGCCTGCTTTTGTATCTTTTTACCCTTTTGGGTTTGAATACAACAAGCATTATGACCAAAAAAAAAA